GATATTGCCTCATAGATTTACGAAATAAGTGGCAAACGGAAATGTGCTGCATATCCCGTAGCCGCAGCTGTTGGGCATTCTGCAACACTTCTTGCTACTATAATAAGCTTAAAATGTATAAAAAAGTATACTGAAGCATATGTACTCTAACGCAGAGTATCAGTCGATAGTTCTGGTGGATTATTAAATAGTAGATGCTAAACTTGTATACCTTTTTTGCATATTTAACTAATGTTTTAATAGATGTAGACGTTTTTCATTCACTAGTCTGAGTATTTGGAACTCACTAGAATAACGATTGCTATCGATAGTCCTGATGGCCCATCAAAGAGAAGATGATAATAATACCTTTAACACATATTCAACTAGTTGTTTAATATAATTTATATTAGAATTAGATTATTTTTCTAGACAGTATCAAAAGTTAAATTTCTTTGCTTCAATTAAAACTATTTCAATATATTAAACTATCTATATTGTTGAAATATATCGATAACACATTTTTATTAGTCAATTAGAGTGCTCTAATCGGAAATGCCCGACTAGAGGATGCCCAGAACCTTCTTCTACCAACCCGAAATGGAATACGCGCTAGGATGAAGTGGCGGGGGCGGTGGTAAATAAAAAATAAAAGACACTTGATCTGAAAATACTTTTCTATAAGCTACATGTCAAATTTTGTGATTCTAGCTCCTATCGATTTTTATCGATTGCTTGGAAATGTAGTAAGTTATCGATTACCAGAAACAAACACGTACTGCACGGACATTAGTAACCTACATTCTTTACCAAGTATCTAGCTCATAAAGGTTCTTATATCCTTGCGCTCACACATAAGGACGGACTGACAGACGGACATATCTAGATGGATTCGCTAATTGATGCTAAGAGATGCTTCCTTCTGCCTGTTGTATATATTCATATATTATAAGATATTAATAAAAGCCAAATACTCAAAGTTAGAGTATTGAAAGACTACGTTAAGCAACAGCATTTGTTGGCATTATTTGTCGTTTACTTATCAACGCACTTCCGCATCATTAAATAATTTTATCATTTACATTATTTTCACTTTCTAAGCAAACGCCACAGTGGCTCACAAAACTGTTCGCACGCTCAGTCTGAAGCGCATCGCAATGGGACTGTGCGGAGAGGGGTTCGGCAGGAGGGTTGCGGCTTCCCAAGTGGTCGTTGGGCACAACTGATTTTGACTCGGCTAATTTGTAATTTATGCAGCTTTTTTGTGGTGTCACAAAAAAGAAAAAATAGATAAGCATAAAGCGAAATCATATTTTAATTAACTGCCGAAAACTTAAGAAAACGTTCTTTAGAATTTACCAAAGCAAAGTTTCTCTAGCTTAAATTTAATGCTTAAGCATAAATTGAAGCAGTACGAAAGAGAGAGGAGTTCTACTGCAAGATATTACAAAAGTGACAGTAAAATATGCAAATCAAGGGAATACAGAAAATAAATGGAATTAGAGAGTTGTGTTAAGAGAAGATTCAACTAAATGAAGGACTTTTAAAATTGGAGTTCTAAAAAGGCATTTCCTTAAATCGAGCATCTTTAAATACCTGATATCGGTCGATATGAAGGCGTATTCCCCAAGTATCAACTCCAGATATATAAGCGTCTTTTGCCTAGGATAAAAATGTCAGACATTTAGATGCAGGCAACATTTTTATTTCAATAAGTATTTTTTCGCGTTATATAATAAATTAAAAGAAGAAAAAACAACAGAAAATCATTTTTCTGCTCACTTCCAAGTGCATTTCAAAGCCATTAAAGTTCTTCAGCCTGCCACTTGATAAAAAAATAAAAAAGCAAAACAGCGACAAAAAATTAAAATGGAATGTAAATGCCAAAAGACATGAGAAAAGCATGGCAAGCAACAAACGATAATGAGGACACATAGCAACAACAACGACAACAGCTACAACGACAAGTATTAGATGAGAGTAACCGGCTAGCGAACACCCTGTACCCAGGCCTGAGCTTACGAAATACAATTTTGAACTTTTAAGCAACGTGCTGACTATTTGCCTTCTAATGTAATGCAAAAAGTAACGTGTTTAGTCAGACCTAAGTGCTTGGTAAAATATGCTGAATATTGCTGATTGTTAGATTCACATATTAGTTACATTTCAACGTTTAGCCAGTTTTTCGTTCAAAATACTTGTGGAATTTCAGTAACTGCTGCAGTTTGCACTGCTAATTTCGTGCGGAAAGAACGTGTATAGTTTATTATACAAATATTAAAGAGCTTATTATATGAAAAATATGTTTATTTTACGTATCCAATAAATTTTCAGCTGAAAAAGAGCTTAAAGTGTATAAATACTTTTAAGTCAATCTTTACGAAACTTTTGGGCACAAGAAAAAAAACTGAAGAATATGTTTGAATTTAAAAAAAAATCCTAATTATAAATAATAAAAGCTCTTTATGATCTGACTTGTATATTCTTGTAGAGGATATTATAACTTTGTCATGGAATTTGTTCCGCATAGAATAAGGCATCAAAGACCCCATAGAGTATATACATATATTCTAGATCAGCATCAACAGCCATTTTGATACAGCCATGTTCGTCTGTCTTTTTCGATACGAACTACTCTCTGAGCTATCGTCTGAAATTTTGTATAGGTCCTTCTTTCCGTCTACATTTAGCTACCATAGGAAGAATTCGTCGAAAAGTAGATTCTTGTCTGGACAAATGCTTTATCTATCCTGATTCCTTATCAAACTCGCTATTTTTTTTTTGTTTCATTATAGTCCTCATATGTATGCCAAATTTGATCAGAATTGAAGCACTAAATCATACAGCTGCCATAGGAACGATCTTTTTCAATATACTTTCATCAGAGTCCGTTGGCTTTTTTGTTCTGATTTGTCTTTCTAATCATTTTTAAATTATATTCTGTGGGAAGTTATTTTTAGTCAAGAGGTTTTTAATTCCATGTCCAATTCTTTGTGGTATATTGTGTTCGATGCGCCGATCATCCTGCTCATACAGCTTAGTTCTGTATTTTTTTAATCATACCTATCATATTTATCCAGTGGCTATGGGTTTCTTATACCACTTAAAAAAAGCTTAAGGTTTTATTATTCTATCATACCCCATTTAAAACAATTTAAATGTGTACAGGGTATTACAACAACAGCAGCACTTGCAGCTAGGATGATAATGTTGCTGGCTGCTGATGACAACAAGCAGCAGCAGCAGCAGCAGTGAATGTGGCAGTTGCAGCAACAGTAAACAGCAACAACAAATGACGGAAATCAGCCAGTGAATGCAGCCCAAACCAAGCAACCGCCTCCCCGCCCCGCCCTCTGCCAGTCCCAGTCAACCCTTTTTTTCACGTCAAGTCCTTGGCTACAGTCAGCTCTAAGCGCCGCCGCTGCTCATTTTCGCAACCAAATCAGACAGCCAACCCCATCCCCCCTCGCCACCTTTCGACCACTGTTGCCAACATTTTTTTATTTTTTGTTTCTGATGCAACTGCATAATTCGTGGGCTCAAAAGGCAGCAAAAATATGCAGGCTCCAATGGGACAGTAAGTGTTAGCCTTATTTCTTTTGCATTTACACATACTTTAAGTATGCCCAAATTGAAATGTTTAAAGCGCTGCCAACTACGCAAGTGAGAAGATAAAAAAAAACACTCAAGTGAATTGTTTTGCTGGCCTTTTTTTCGATCTGGCCACACGCACGATTTAATCCCAAATCGGGCGACAGTCCGTGGCTCAGTCAAGTGAAATGTCAGCCACTCAAAAAATGTGCGGCATGGCATGACAAATCTACCTAGCAACAAAAACAACAACACAACACAGTCAGAACAACAATGCGAACTTAGTTTATTTGAGATTTAACGATTCGGAAACAAACACACAGACGACAAATTATTTGGCCATCAAGCGCAGAAGTTCTACGTTAGAGGGTTGGGCTCAGGCTGAAGGGGGACGTGGCGTGTGGTTTCTAGTTTGTTGAAAAATTATTAATTTTCGCAAAAGTCAACAGCATACAACCACACACACACACCCCCACACACACTGCGAAAAGCTGACATGTTTATGCACATGAGTAAACAGCAGCAACAGCAAACGAAAATTACATAGCATACTTTTCAGCGTGTTGGCCAAATGCAAAGACCATCGCAAAATTTATGAGTAATTGTTGCCAACGCGTCTAAAAGAAAATTAAAAAAATAGTTAAACACATGTAAATGGATGGATTTTAAAGTGATTGCAACCCGAACAAATTCTCTTTTGAAAACCATAAAATGTCGGGTTCATATACACTGTTCACATAAGAGCTAGACTTGGCAAAAACCTTTCTTCTACACACTTCGAAACTTTTTTTCACACATTTTATTCAGATTTCATTTGCCGCTGTCTATGGACTACAAGTAGCTGCTTTTATTTATTTTTTTTTTTAATTTATTTTTTTTTAATTGTGGCCATCAAAATTCCCTCATTTTTCACTTATATCTTGTATTACACGACTTGCAATTATATTTAACATATATATTTAAAAATGAGTTTCAAGTCGATGAAATGAATACAAATGAGTTATCCCAAAGATTTTGAGTACTGCGTTTTGAGTTGATCGAATGATAATAAACAAAAATAGCTTACGTTTTCCACGGGTTTTTAAGTCTTGTTAGCGAAATTTACCAAAAAGCCGCTTTTTTCAAAACCGATAAGTATCGATTATCAAGGCAACGTTAAAAGAGTCAAATTTGATAAGCAGGTTCTCGAAGAGCATACGCTGATCAAGACTATTTTATTTGTACGGGAATGTCCATTTTTAATAATAAATACTAAAGAGGAAAATTCAAATACCAAAATTCTCATTAACATTAATCGACAAGCAAATTGACAAAAGGAAATGCGATGTGAATAATAATGTGAATCAATTAACCAATTAACTTGAAATTCTGTCCTTTTACCGAAACATGCTTACGAAGGCTCTATACATATATGTGCATATATAAAGAGTCTACCCCTCGTAATGTTCCAGTAGTTGTGTGTACTCGTTGAGTAGTTGCTCCTCCTGTTCCAGTGGCAAATCCAAGTAGTCCTGATCAACATCAGGTATATCCTCATTGAAACGCCTGTAGGCTCTGTATGTTTCCAATTCGGCCTTGGCCTTGTTGAGCACCGATTTAACCAGAGCTACTTTGCTGGGCGTTCCAACAGACAACTGCTCCGATGAGGAGTTGGGAAGGACGGATGAGGCGGGGGAGTTTGAGGAGGAGGTGGAGGCGGCACCAGCAGCTGCGGCTGTTGCAGACATGCGTTCAACCACGCTGTTTAATTCCTCCTCGGTGGCCAAACTTTTGAGCAGAAAATCGATGGCGCGATCAAGGTTATTGCATGTGATTTCTAAAGCGGCACGTGCCGCGGGCAACTTAAAGCCCAGTCCGCGTAGAGTGCCAAGCATTTGCTCATCAGCTGCCTGAGAGTCGGGCAAACCCTGGCGTAGTTCACTCGAATGATATTGCAGCAGTTCCAGACTGCGCGCCAAATCGTTCTCGGTGCGATGCAGTGCCTCGACGACAAGTTGCTGCTCAAAGCCCAGGTCCATGAGGCGACACACGCTGCGCGGATGGACCCAATCGCGTCCATCGTTGTCCAACTGCATTTGCGCCAGGCGACGACTCAGCTGTCGCTCCGAATCCGAGTTGGCACGCGCCGCTTGCAGACGCTGACGACGCTGTTGTATGAACTGCACCGCCTGCTCCACATTGCCGTTGCTGGAGCGCAGGGCCAAGCGGGCAGCGGAAGCATCAAAGCCCATTTCCACCAGCAGCTCAAGCTGTTCGCTGTTCACTTTCAGCTCAGCTAAGGCTGCGCCTGCGGCATCCAGACGCGCTCGTGCTTCAACCCGTTGATTCTGATGAAACAATATGATGCCCTGGAGCAGCTGCAGGCGCATGATAAGTGCACGCTCCGGACAGCTGGAGCCCTTCAGGGCATAGAGGCGACTAAAGTTTTCGCCGTAGCTGCGCTGCAGGATGCGCTCGCAGACATCGAGACGACGCTGGGCATCCGGCAGCTGGGTTATGTTCTTTAGGCACAAATAGCACCAGACAATGTCCAAATTGAGCAGCGCATAGTTGTCCACATAATCCAGAAACTTGGAATCGCAATTGTTAAGCTTTTCATCTGCCTCCAGAAAGAGCAACAGCGCCTCATCGTAGTGACCCCGCCGCATGGCTGCGCGTGCCTTCTCGCCCAAACTCATGCCCATGAGCAGAGCACGATTCTCGTGCGGTGGTAGAAACATCACATTGCCATCCTGGTCCTCCAGATCGACAAAACGATGATCCGAATCGACAACAACTTCCACATCTCGCTGTATCTGGCGTATGCGCTCGTACAGAGCCTCACCCCGCGAATCCGGCTGACCCACAATCACCAACAGCTGCTGATTGTTCTTTAGGCCCTGCGACTGCAGGGTCGCCTGTGACACCACCATGCGTCCTGCCGAGATGCACTTCACATGATCCGCCTCACTTAGCTGCAATTCGTCGGCGACTTTACGCTGCAAATTAGCGCCCAGCTCTCCCAGAGCGCACTTCACCTCCAGCGTGTGCGCCGTGCCGCCCTGGTTGTCCACGCAACGCACATGGAATGTGGCCAAGCCCGTATCATCGAACTCCCGCCGTGCGGCTAGTTTGCGTAGTGAATGCTCCTGCAGCTCCAGCAGCGAGTTTTTGCAGCTCACAACGCTGATGTGCAGCTCACGACTTAGCTCCTGGGCGAGCAGCTCCACAGCCGAATCGCTGCTGCCCAAATCCTCCACATAATATGGAGATTCCCACAATTTGACACCACGCTCCTGCAGGCGTATGCGCAACTGTATCAGTTTATTCTCCATGTCGGACATTTCCTTTCCGCTCGTAGGTTTTTTCAATTTTTGAGCAGTGCACTTAACCAAATATTGTTTTGTATACGACTTATCAAATATGACTGGCATTCTGATTCAGGAATACTACGTTGAACGATACAAATACAACAAGTAAGAGGCTCTAGTCGGCCGTGGGCGTTAAAGACCAAAGCTCGGGTGTCAAAGCCATTAAACAGCTATCCCACAAGGCAGCGTCCTCGGCCTGCTGCTGTACACGCTGTATACGACAAACCTTCCCACCCACACAAGGACAAAGCAGTGCAGCCTTCAGCCCAATGTATGCGGATGACCCCGCATTCCTGGCTTCGCACGAATCCTAACAAACTGCAACAAATGCTGTGCAGGACTGCTAACTGGAACGTCGCCATAAACTGTGTCAAGTTCGCCCAGACAGTCGCCAGGGGCTACGGTCCGATGGAAGAACCATTGAGCACACCAGCTCATTCAGCTAATTCTTAAAAAGGCTCCAAAAGATCAACTGGCTACTAAAGCCTCAAAGCAAAGCTGCAATTTTCCACGAAGGCACTACTAATTAAAACAAGGTTATCGCTAATCTGGACATATGCTTTTCAAAAGCATATTATGCTATACGCCTAAGAGTGGTTCAAGCCAAGGCAGCAGGCCAGGTTGCCGGCCTGTCATGGTACCTGACAAACGACGCGATTCCCGCCTAACAAAGGTCGGAGATCAGGCCAAAGGCTACACCCCGGCGATCTATCTACGATGCAAATTATTTAAATATCTCCTTTCCCTTCATTGTAAATACCATATAATTTACATACTTGTAACTATATATATTCTTCCCTTATTTATTTGCTTGAAAGAGATCAGAGGGCACTGGTCGATTTCAGCGCAAAATAAAACATATTAAAAAGAAAAAAAAATAGAGTTAAGGATAGGACACAAAGAGGAATTCAACCAAAATGTGCATGAATTGCATAACTAAAAACAGCTAATAAGACTTTAAAACCCACGACTTACGATAAATAAACAAGTAAGAGGTTCTAGTCGGGAGCTCCCGACTAGGAGATACCCTGAACCCTCTTCTTCCAACATCAAATGAATATATATATTTTTAGAAGCTTTATGTCAAGTTTGGTGACTCTAGCTCTTATTATTGACCGAAATTGCCCAAAAAACAGGATATCGATATAGATTTTTATCGATTGCTTGGAAACGGAGGCAGTTATCGATTATCGGAAACAAACTCGACCTGCGCGGGAACTAGGAGCATCTACATCTAAAAGTCTACATCTAAAAGTCTTTAGCTCTAATAGGTTCTGAGATCCTCGCGTTCATACATACGGACGGACGGACGGACGGACAGACAGACGGACATGGCTAGATCGACTCGGCTATTTATGCTGATCAAGAATATATATACTTTATGGGGTCGGAAATGCTTCCTTCTGCCTGTTACATACATTTGGCTTTCGCACAAATACAATATACCCTTATAGCCATTTTTAATGGGTTCGTGTATAAAAAGAAAATGCCAAGAGCAGTCTTTCTAGGCCCCTAAACCGAAGCAAAATAATTGTATTATTTATCGGGGTAAAAAATGGGTCCATTTAAAGCAGAAGGAACAAATTCAAAGAGCAGCGCTAGGCATTCAACATGTTCTAACGAATTACCAAGCAACAAATCTCTAATTTTGTTGGCCTTGTGCGGTGCCAATTATCGCCACGAAAATTCACCCAGCGAAAAAATAAGGAAAGCATTGGAAAATGGTCGACTTAACGGCCCAAAGACGCGACGACAAATTAAAAGCGATAAACCACAGACAAAAGTCGCCTCACAGGATACAATCAACTGAAGTAAGCAAGCCCAGACCCAAGAGGAGGGTGGGGGAAAATGTCATTGTCAGCTTAACGCAGGCAACTTTGTTTGGCCCTTCGGTCTGTATGTGTGTGTGTGTGTGTGTTTATATGTACGCGCGTGTGTGGAACAATGTGGGTAATAAATGTTATGTGCGGTTAAGGGTTAATAACTGCAACAAAAGCGCCACAAAAAGTAAGAAGTAAAATCCGACAAGGCCAAGACATTTTATAGATACTACGATACATGCACTCAAAGAAAAAGTTCAGCGCAAACTCTTTCAATGTGCATAGCAGCAACATTCTTGTTTAAAGAACTTTTTTTAAGTATCAAAATTACTAATGTTCCAGAATGTTTAAATTCCGTATTAAATTTACGAAATAATATTCATTTGTTGCGCACGTTTTATGCCTTTTTGGGATAACGACATAATTTCTCACGACATATTTCCGCCATTCTACAAACGAGATATCTCTGCGCGAAATTCTGTAGTTTTCACAACGTCTTATCTCCAATTTCGTTATGTCGCTATCAAACGACATTATCTCCCTATGGTCAACGGCGGAGTTATGTCGTTCTAAAATGTCAAAATGTACTGGGCGGAGATATAAGGGCGGAGCTATGTCGCTAATATCTTGTGTTTTAGGTTAATACGTTTTTTAGGCCTAATCGAATTATTTTTCAACGTTGATGTTTACAATTTTAAAACAAAAAAGGATTTCATATTAGAAATTGAAACTGGGGTTTTTCTTTGAGTGTACCCAAAGCCCCGTCCAACAGCTGTCGCCAAAGTGTGGCTGCTAATGAAAAGTGCCGCGGCTTATTGTGTATAGCAAAAAAAAAAAAAAAAAAAAAAAAAAAAAAAAAAAAAAAAAAAAAAAAAAAAAAAAAAAAACGAGGGTCTGTTCGGAATAAGTTTACGCCTTGGGCCCAAGTTGTCCTGTTTCTTCTTCCTTGCCAGCTCCCGTTCTGCTCTGTGGTGTGAATAAATGGATGAATCTCTAACACAGTTGATATCCATGATGAAGTAGCCAGCATGTTTGATGCGGGGGCTAAGGACTTGCGTGTATGCATTGTGTGTCTGTGTGGAGGGTGTGTGTGTGGATAGTTTGTTGTTTGGTAAGTTCCGTGCTGTGTGTAGCTGTTTAATTGTTTGTTTGCTGCTGCTGTGCATTTTCACTTGACATTGTATATTGAAGTGAAGGCGAAGAGATCCTTCAGTTTTCTACTTAATTACATGAATATTTCAGCTTAATAAAAACTGTTCTGATATACAAAAACTCCACAATTTCGACAAGGTTATTTTGTTTGCAAAGAGTTGATGAACTTGTCGGAAAAGTTGAATAATAACTATGTATGTGTGTATGTTATGTATATGTATGTAAGTATTTTTATGTTCTATTATATTAAATACAGTAATTGTTGACTGAACTTACTTTTACGTATCGTATAATTACAAGTTACGATGGCTATATAGCAAGTTTTAGCTCTGATAGTACTCTCACTTTAATTTACTCCATTGCAATTCATCTTTTATTTTGCTTTACTATATTTCTATAACATGAGATACTGTATTAACTTCCACTTAATTGCAACATTCCCATTTCTAACACCTCCTTAATCGTTCTGATCTGGACTATACACACAGAAACGCATCTATTATCATTATCCTTGTATTCTGCCGCCAACCCCTGTCGTTGGCCTGTGCACTGCAAATGACACAAGTTAAATGCCGACTAAGTGTCACTGACAGCCACGCTGCATCCGAGGCGGCTGCTCGGGGAACGACGCCCCACCCCCTTCTAGAGGGACTCGCACTGAGTCGACTTGACTTGTCGTCACGAGTATCCTTGTTGTTAGCCTGTAAATAAAATCAGTGCCTTGTAGCGCAAAAGTTGGCAAAGTTTTCATGCACTAAATGACTTGTCGTCCTCGGCAGTTCGTATTAAACTAAAGTGAACAAGATTCTGCCCGCCGCACACATCCTTCAACGAACGACACAAAGTTGACAACCGACAAGTCAGATTCTAGTACATTAAATTAATGAAATGATTTGCTGGTGCTGTTTCCCCTCCTTCACATGCTCCCAATAAAGGTTATGCTCTGGAGATCTCGTTCGAAACTTAAAACTTGACAACGTTTTCAAGACCATAAATATGCGCAAATCATCGAAATAAACAACAACAACTCGCATACAATAGCCACAGACATCAGGATGATGTGACCAATTGTGGGTCATTAATCTTTCAAAACAAATGCGGTTCAATGTTTTTGACAGCGGGGTAGAAAATAGAAAGAAAAAAAGTAAAAAGCAGCAAAATGCAACCAAATACCCTTCTAGCACGACACTATACAAATTTGCCAAATTTAAGGAATATAATAAATTTAAAACAATCATCGAACTTATAATATAAAAATCAAAATATGTATATGTGAGTCAACCAAATTGGAAACCTCCAATTTATATTTGTATGCACTTTTGGAATCCGAATCAATCATAAACATATCGACATTGGTCAAGTAAAAATATATAGAAATATATAATCTATATATATTCTAGATTCTTTATGGTCTTTATAGAAACGGAATTCTTAAAAGCGCATGAAATTGATTTGCCAACTTATGCCTAATCGGGTTTAGGGTTTAGGGAGTTTAGGGAAATTTACGTTCACAAAATCTTGTGAACAATAGGGGAAAAAGTCTGTTTACACAGATAAATTTCTAAATATAATTAGCATTCATCACGTCCAATATAAAAATTGACAATATATTATGTAAGTTCCAGGTTTTTTTACATTCTGTTCCCGTTTCACTTTATTATTATAAGGGACAAAGAAATATCTTTAAAGAACAGCAGCCTAACCAGAAACAAGAGAATTCAATTAACAATAACTTACTCAATGCGGCGAAATAATAAAAAAATTTCCCCTTCATATCCATGACAATAAGCCAGTGTATATTAGCCAAAAGTGAAAAGGATAAAAGGTACATAATAAAAACTAATTAAACATTTTATAGCTTACTCAATTGTAAGATGATATATATGTATTACACATTCAGACCTTTCATCCATTATTTTTTTTTGGATTTAATCAAATTTTCTATATAATATTTCCCTTTTGCCAAACCATTTCCCCCAGCAAGTATGCTCT